CTTTTCATTTACTAGTTGGCAGTGGATGTGTGCACTAATGGGAATCATAAATTTGATACACAGTAAAACGACATACTGGAGTTGTTCCATTCCCTTTTTCCCATCCACTAGTACTAACAATCGCTTTTGTCCTAGTCCATAGTCTAGATGAACCACACACAAACCCTATTGTACATGTTCCTCAGTGCTGAGGGCATCCTCAAATGGCGGGTTATGTGTGAGGCTTCCATGTTATTTCTTTCATGTGTCTTAACGAAAGTGATCTATTTCTTTTAGTGGTCTGCGGAAGTTGTAATCCCAGGTGGCTGTGGAGTGTGACCAAAGCTCAGAAATAGTGGCTTCTTTGTTGGTCGAAATAGCATAGAGATTGGGATAGAGGCTGTCCAGAGTCCCTTGTGAGAGCCATGTATCGTGCCAGAAACTAAGAGCGCTTCTTTCACCCACTTTGCAAATGGCATATGTCCTGACAAAGCGGACTGGTGGGCTGTAATCGTGTGGGGCAGCAGGTTTTTGAGCCTCTCGGATAGGACACGAGCAATGATTTTGTATGCACAAGGAATGAGGCTGATAGGGCGATAGTCATGGACTGTTTTTGCATCTTTTCGCTTAGGGATGAGGCAAATATAGGTCTCGTTTAATGCAGCATTGATGATTCCATTTTGGAAAAAATCTTGGAACATTGCCAAAATATTAAATTTGATAGTGTTCCATGATTTTTTGAAAAAATTTGCAGTGAAACCATCCAGCCCAAGGGCTTTGTCCTTTCCAAGACAAGACAACAGACTGCTTTGTAGATCTCCTCTTCCGTGAAAGGGAGCTCCAGCCTTGTTGAGTTTTCTATAGTGATGGGATCCCATGGGAGATTGGTAGGGCAACATCTCTGTCCAGCTTTCCTAGTGCAGAGGGATGAGTAGAAATCAACGAATTCCTTTTCAATATCCCCAATTTGTGTGAGGCTATTACCTTCCCTAGAGAGTAGTTCAGTAATGGTGCTTCGTCTTCTTTTGTTAGCTAGGAAACGGTGGAAGAATTTAGTATTTTCATCCCCCTCATGTAGACAATTTAGCTTGCATTTCTTCCTCCAGAAAATCTCTTCTTTTCCGGCAAGAGAGAGTAATTCCTCACGAATAGTCAAGCGCTCCCAAACCTTGTCAAGGGATAGGGTGTGGGTTCCTTCCAAATCGTCCAGTGTGGATAAGGATTGGATGATATTGTCCTTTTGAGTGTATGCAACCGAAGTGTTCTTTGTTCCACACCTTCAGGGCTAGCTTCAAAGCTTTGAGCTTCATCATCAAGCCATGGCCAGGCCAACCATGGATGGGGTTGCTATTCCACCAAGACTCTAGGAAAGGCTTGAAGGATTAATGGGCAAGCCACATGTTCTCAAATCTGAAGGGTGTTGGGCCCAATTATTTTATCCAAATTCCAAGAGGATGGTAAAATGATCGGATGTGGTTCTGTCCAGTCTCTTAGCAGTTGGCATCCCAAATTTGTCCGTGCACCCTTTAACCAATAGGAAACGATCAATTACGGAGTGTGATTGGTTCCAGGACCACGTGAGCTTACCGTTGCTGAGGGGAATATCAATGAGACCAGATTCATCAATGGAGGAGTTGAAAGTCTACATACTTTTGGTGAGGGGGCGGCCACTGGATTTTTCCCAAGACCATCTGGTGATGTTAAAGTCCCCAGCTAATATCCAAAGATCCTCACAAAGGTCGGAAAGATCTTTGAGCTCATGCCAAAAAAGATGGCGGTGCTCAGAGGTGGATGGGCCATAGATTCCTGCGATCCAGAAAGAGAAACCGTCAGTTAAGATAAAGTTTAGAGAAAGGGAAAAAACACCTTCAATAATCTCCCTTGTTGTAAAGGCAACGTTGTTCCAAAGGATAAGTATCCCACCAGCCATACCCACAGCGCCAAGAAACGCCCGATTTATCCCATGGGAACTCCAAAGGGATTTAACAATAGGGGGTCAATATGAGCCATTTTTGTTTCCTGTAGGATCACCACACTAGGATTTATGCGGGAGATAGTTTGCTTGATGAGGGCCCTCTTCTTCCATGAGCCCAGACCCCTCACATTCCAAGAGAGGATCTACATATGGCATAGGATGGTCCCCCCTTTATAAGCTTTCGTTTAGTTGATGGAAGAGGTAAGGTTCTTTAGCTCTCGTGCACCTGTTTTGGGCTTTTGGGTTTTGGAAGGCCTTTTGGCCTTAGTTTCTACTTGTGGGATGGCCATGATGAATAAACCCGACTCCTGTAAGTAGCTGGCCAAGTAACGTTGAAATAGCTAGGAGAGAAGAGGTTTTTGGCTAGGTTTTTGTCAGTAAAGACAGGGCTGTCATGGGTGTCTGCCAGAGAGGGTAGTGCAGCAGTATCAGTGGCCATGGGGTGAAGAGGAATGTATGGGTGGGTTGGCGATGGATAGGGTGTTGGATGGTGAGTTGGGTTGTGTAGGGGTAGAAATGTGAAGGGGGGCTGCCTCGGTAATTGGTAAATCACCAAAAAAATGGTGGGGATAATAGGTGTGGATGGGCTGTTGCAGATAGCCAAAAGTGGGCTATCATCGGGGAGCGGACTCGAAAAATAGTCAACGTCATCTAGGTCTTCAAAGATAGGACTACTATGTATGGGGCTAGGTTTCCTTCTTTGTAGGAGACATTTAAACATTTATTAACTAGTGAATTTCTTCAAAATAGTTCAGATGACTTTCAATTAATCTTGTAAGTTAACTTAATTTTAATCGAATTGGAATTAATTTAATTTTTAATTTAATATCGAGATTAATAGATTAAAATTAATCCTTTTTGTTACTAAACTTTTCATATATATCCCATTTCTATAAGTAAATACAATGAAAGTTACTTTAGATGGATGAAAAATTACAAAGGATGTAAAGTGACAAACCAAACCAATTGATACGTTTTTTGTCCTTTTTTATAGATGTAATTTTTCAATTGCATTCGCCTTGTTGTTCAAGAAATCAAATGAACGTTTCCATTTATCTGATCAAAAATTGAATCACACATAACTGACTTATACCCTAGCTTCTACAATTACTCATGAACACACCTGCAACTGCCACAGCACTTGTTGATGGAAAATTTGCTACTCCAAATGCACTCGATTTTCGTAGGGCACTCGATAATTGAACTGGTTGACCAAATGCATTATTAGGTGGGTTGGAGGGCCTGTGAAACAATTGCTCCAAATGTGAGGCCCAAAGATAGTTATGCAGACCGCAAAGCATCAAATCAAGTTTGTAAACTATATACATTCTCATAGAAAAACAATAAAATAAAGCTATATGTCATCTTACCTAGCACCAAACCCCGTATTAAGTGATGCACCCAACTGGCTAAAACTTGACAATGAAGGATGAGCACTATTTTGAGCACTTGGTAGAGTTGAATGAGAATTAGTCCCCAAAAATGAGCTTTGATTGCCAGGAGTATGATTTACTGGTGTTACATACGGCTTATGAAGAAGGCTGTCGAACTCGGCTAACTTAGAATTAAGTAAATTTCTCTCTCTTTCAACCTGTAACAGAATATGTTAAAGTTAATAGTTACGGACTGATGAAACTAGTACAACATTATTACCAATATCAAAAGAATGGAAGTTTTACTACTTCACAATTCACATAGAGGACACTTAAATGTTTCTTGAGTCATGATTAAACCACTGCTATAGTTTTAACATACATTCTACACGTCTAATTTGGTGAAGGACCTTGACAACATCTGGTCCAATGACAAAAGGATAAATTTTTTTACCTCGTACCAATTCCTTCAAAAAACTCCAAGTAAAGGAAGACAAGACCTTTGGGGCCAAAGGAAAAGAAAAAATCTATAAGATCCTCAGTGCCTGGTTAACTATGACAAACAACAGGCTAAACCTTGAAAGGGAAGGTTAAGTTCTCAATGATTATTATTTCATCACAGGTGAAGGACTTAGGTTCTTTGGCTAAATGAACCGCAATTAAAGATACTTTGCTTAAGGTTAATCCTAAATTTTCATTCTCACGAGAACCAAACTAAAGACCATTAGTGATGCAATCTTGCACAAGGATTTTGATAATAATTCAATAGCTCCTCATTAATGAGGTTGAAACCTATTTATAGAGGTTTTAACTCAAGTAAAACAAGGCTAAGATGATGAAGCTGCAGAATTTATTGATTTGTTGTCAACATTGAATCCATTCATCCCTAGTAGCTCGGATGATAGCAGGTTCTGGTTTTTGGAATCTTCGGGCTCGTTCACAGTGGCTTATTTATGTAAGTCCTTTTCACCAACCTTAATGCCAGCTGACATTTATCAGGCAACATGGAAAACAAAATGCCCAAAGAAGGTTAGTTTTTTTATCTGGATCATCATGAACGGGAAGCTAAATACTGCAGATGTTCTCCAAAAGAAACTCTCAGAATCTTGTTTATCGCCCTCAATCTGTGTGCTCTGTCAAGCAGGTGGGAAGAGTTCTGTTCATCTATTTTTTCAATGCCCCTATGCTTTGAAGTGCTGGTCTTTACTATTCAAAGAACTCAATTTATCTTGGGCTTTCAGTGGTGTAGTCGTGGACAATGTCATTCAATTACTCCTTGGGTTGAATTTGCCTCCACAAGGTCGCCTACTATGGATTAATGCTATTAAGGCTGTGCTCTATGAGTTATGGTTTGAAAGAAATCTAGAATCTTCGATGGGCAGCGTAAATCTTTGTTCGATAGGTTTAGCATAGCTAAATTTAAAGCCCCTCAGTGGTGTTATGGTTTAATGCTATTAAGGCTGTGCTTTTTGTTGCGGTGTTTAATTTTGGTTTATTTCATTGTTTTCTTTCCCTCTTTCAAGAGTTTGTATCATTGAACATTTATGTTCCTTTTCATTATGTCAATGAGAAGTTCGTTTCTCGTTAAAAAAAATAAAAATAAAAAAGATAACTAGAGTTACTTTGCAGTAAATCCAAATCCAACTTAAACAAAAGCTATAGCTAGGCCATGTGAAAGATAAAGGCTACTTAACAGCCAACTAACTACATCAATTTCCCCAACCCAAAAGATAAAACTCGCCCTCGAGTTTAAAATCAGTGGAGTTAGAAGGTTATGAACAATCCTCAAAATCTTGTGGTTCAAAAATACTCCAACCGAAAATTTGAACTCATTCTCTCTAAACTCTTACTATTTATATTGGCCTTTATTGACCACCAAGCCAACCCTTACTCTTTATATTGGCCCTTATTGACCACCAAGCCAACCCATGATGGTCGTATGAAGTTACTTATTAAACAAAATTTTCCTAGTCTTTATCACTTGGCCTTGCTTACATGGTGTTCATTGCGATTATCCTTGTTCTCACATGAGACTCCTTTTTTCTAACAAGAAACAAACTTTTCATTGATGTATGAAAAGGAATAGAAAATTTTTCAAAGATACAATTTCCCGAAGGAGTAAAGAGAAAGGAAAAAAAAAATTAAAAGATACAACCAAATCAACCTTAGAATAGGCAAGAAGATAGAAATATTCAAAAGAAGATCTAGACAGAAGTCAAAAAACGTCCCAATTAGAGCAGATTGAAGGCCCTTGGTTTCGCTCAAACCATAACTCCGATAAAAAAGCTTTAATACCATTTGCCCATAAGAGGCTTGCTTTTGGAGGTAAGGATGGACCAAACAGAAGCTGAAAATTTGACGAAGAGACTGCCTTGTCCTTAACCCAAACAATGTTGAAAGATTTAAAGAAGAGATCCCAACATGCAGAAGGGACAGAAAAGGAACAAATGCACCTTGTCTTCACAATTGGCAGCACAAAAAACACATACAGAAGGTTGAAGGAGCATGATGGGCAGCTTCTTTTGAAGAGCTTCTACTGTATTAACTTTCCATTAAGGAGAATCCATGATGTAGAGACTAAGGTTGGAGAGAATCCAATGTGATGTATTCTCATTATTAAAGTCTATATATATAGACAAATATATAAGGTTGACCTAATTTTATAAGAAGGTAAAGGACAAATTAATATTAATACAAGAATATATAATATACTAATATATACTCTAACACATGATAAAACATTCACCCTTTTCAGACTGTAGAAACTAAGGTTTGAGAGAACCCGATAGATCTCATTCTCATTACTGAAGTCTATATATAGACAAATATACAAGGTTGACCTAATCCTAGAAGGGGAAGGTAAAGGACAAATGAATACATATTATTTAAAAGAATGTAAAATATACTAATACATACTCTAACACTCCCCCTCAAGTTGATGCATATATGTTAATCATGCCCAACTTGTTAGAGAGATAATTTATCCGTGCTCCAGTCAATGCTTTAGTGAAGATATCTCCTAACTGCTCTCTAGTCTTCACATATCCTGTAGTCACCAATCCTTACTGTATTTTCTCATGTAAATAATGACAATCAACTTCAATGTGTTTGGTTTGTTCATGAAATACTGGATTAGATGCAATATGGAAAGCTGCTTGATTATCGCACCAAAGTTTCATTAGAGTGGTGATGCCAAATCCCAATTCAGTCAGAAGCTGATATATATATACTAATTCACACACCGACTGTGTCATGGCTCGATATTCTGATTCAGCACTTGAACGTGACACCAAATTTTGTTTCTTACTTTTCTAAGAAACTAAATTACCTCCAACAAATACACAAAATCCCGAAGTTGATCTCCTGGCTTCCTTAAAACCTGCCCAATCAGCATCTGAAAAACATTCAATATTAAGATGACCATGATCTTTATATAACAAACCACGTCCAGGAGCACCTTTCAAATAACATAGAATATGTTCCAATGTGGCCCAATGGTCAGTCGTAGGAGAACTCATAAACTGACTCATAATACTGACTGGATAAGCTATGCCAGGCCTAGTAACTGTAAGGTAATTAGCTTCCCTCTAACCTCCTATACTTCTCAGGATCTTTCAACAACTCCCCTTCTTTTGTAAGTTGTAAATTAGGCATCATTGGAGTTCTACGTGGCTTAGCAGCTAATTTTCCTGTTTCAGTTAACAAGTCGAGTACATACTTTCTTTGTGACAAAAGGATCCCCTTCTTGCTCCGTGTTACTTCAATTCCTAAGAAATATTTCAATATTCCCAAATCTTTAGTATGAAATTGACTATGAAGAAAAGACTTGAGTGATAGGATGCCTGATGAATTATTACCAGTAATCACAATATCATCAACATATACAACTAGTAAGATAACACCAAACTCAGATCTTTTATAAAAAACATAATGATCTAACTTACTCTTCTTTATCCCAAAATTTTCAATCACCTGACTGAATTTTTCAAACCATGCTCGCGGACTTTGTTTCAACCCATATAATGATTTACGAAGGTGACGTACCTTTCCATTCTCCCCCTGAGCAACAACTTCTTCTTGAAGATCACCATGGAGCAATGCATTTTAATTATCAAGCTGATGCAAGGGCCAATGATGAATAGGTGCCAATGAAATGAATAACCTGACAGAAGCCAATTTAGCAACTGGAGAAAAAGTATCAGAGGGAGATGTATTGCTAGGAAGCTCTTCAACAGAGGTAGAGACAATAGAATAGACAAGAAATGTATCATCTTCCTGTGACTGCTCCCCCTGACTGGTACTCAGGACGATGAAAAAGGAGTATCTTCAAAGAACTCCTTTTTGAACACGAGAGTAACCAAGGAAAATGCATTTCAATAACTTAGGGTCTAATTTGGTGAGCTGGGGGCGAACCTCCCGAACGAAACAAGTGCAACCAAATATTTTAGGTTTAATAGGAAATAAAGGTTGCGTAGGACACATAGTACGATAAGGTATTTCACCCTTAAGAACTGACGAAGGCATGCGATTAATCAAGAAGCAAGCCGTCGAAACAGCATCAACCCAAAAGTATTTTGGAACATGAATTTGAAACATTAAGGCTCTTGCTGTTTCGAGAAGATGTCTATATTTCCTTTCTGCAACTCCATTTTGAGACGGAGTATCAACACACGAGGATTGATGAATAATACCATATTCACTTAAATAGGAGCCAAGAGCACCAGAAAAATATTTCTTAGCATTATCACTCTATAGAACTTTAAGAGAGCCACCAAATTGAGTTCGAATTTCAGCATGAAAGTTACGAAAATGAGAAAGTAACTCAAAACGATATTTCATCAAATATAACCAAGTTACAAGAGAGAAATCATCGACAAAAGTAACAAAATACCGAAATCCATTTTTGGATTCAATAGGACAAGGACCCCAAACATCATAATGGACTAATTCAGAAAGAGCATTAGCTCGTGTATTGACTCTAGGATAGGAACTGAGACGATGAAACTTAGCGAATTGACATGACTCACAATCTAAAGAATGCAAACTATGAAATTGAGGATGGAGACTCTTTAACACGGAGAGAGATGGATAACCCAAACGACAATGTTCTTCGAAAAGAGTTGGCACTCGAGTGCAAATGGTGGCTGTAGGTATTTGTGTATCAAACGTGTAGAGGCCATTAGATTCACGCCCTATACCAATAGTCTTCTTCGTTGTAAGATACTGAAATAAGCAATAACCAGGAAAGAATAAGACACAACAATTGAGATCACGAGTAAGTTTACTGACAGAGATCAAATTAAAAGAAAATTGTGGCAAATTTAAAACAGAGGTCAATGAAAGAGTTTTGGAGAGATGAACTGTGCCAGAGCCAAGAACCGGAGAAGTGGTGTCATCTGCTATTGTAACATCAGGTAAAGATGTAGATGGTGAAAAGGTAGCAAATAAATTGGGGTTACCTGACATATGATTCGTAGCACCAGAGTCAATGACCCATTTTGACGCAGAAGAAATAAGACATTTATTGGTATTACCTGAATCAGCAATGACAATAATTGGATTAGAGGATGATATCATCAATGACTCTTGATACTGTTGGAATTTAGCAAACTCTTCCGCAGAAATCGTTACCATTAATTTCTTGTCGATCATAACTTCAACAATATGGACACAAACAAAAACTGCACTGAAACAGACCAAACCAAATCTGACGGAGGAAAGGGAATCGAACCAAACCAATTGAACAGAGCCAAGTGAACCAAACCAATTGAACCGAAACAAACGAAACCAAAATAGACACAAATTCCATAGCTTTGAAACAAAACCAATGGGCATAGATGAAGAAGTAGAAACTCTAGGTTTACCGAGGGAATTAACCTTCAATTTTCCAGAAACGTTTCATCCAAAATAGACAAAACTGTAAATGCTTGCCACAAGCCCACAACTTGCCACCAAAGAGCTGAAGATTCAATACTAAAACGCCATCCCCACTTAGCAGAAGCCTGCCAATTTCCAAACCTCCTTCTACTCAACAAAGAGAGGTATAAAGACTAAGGTCGGAGAGAATCTGATTATGCTATTATCATTACTGAAGCATATATATATACAAATATACAAGTTGGTCATGTAAAAGGACGATAAATGACAAACTAATATAGATTACTACAATAATATAAAGTATACTAATATAAATACTCTAAAAAAGAGGTAATGTCCCCAACTTTGGTTCCAACAAGCCAATTTCCAAACCTCACTCAAGACTCCTTATCCTTAAACTTTGGTTCCAGACTTCCAGTCATCCTCTTTCAGAATCAGATTGTGAGTCTTTAGATATTTCGTTGCTCTTATCCTTGTTTTCTAAGTTCTACCCACAAACTGGAGTAAGGGATAATTGTTTTTGGTCTCCTAGTCTGTCTAGGGATTTCTCGTGCAGTTCCTACTCTATCCTTTAGGGGTCCACCATTCCCACAAGTTCTTTGTTTTCTTTGCTATGGAAGGTTCAGGTCCCCAAGAAAGTTAGATTCTTTGCCTGCCAAATCATCCAGGGAAGTATTAACACCACGGATTGCATTCAAAGATCGTCTTTTATTGTGCTAGAGCCCCAATGGAGCAAAGTGTATAAGAAGGTCGTGGAAAGTCTTGATGACGTTCCCAGTTTGCTACAAGGATTTGGGATAGATTCTGAAGCACTTTTGGGTTGTAGTTGGCTTGCAACAGATCTTATGATAGAGGTATTCCACCCCTAGAAAGGGGTGCTTATAAGGCAAGCAATTATTTTTGCTATTTTATGGAACATTTGGCTTCATAGAAACAAGAGAGTCTTGAGTGACGAAAATTTCCAAAATTCTTGGAGGATGTGTAAGGCTTAGCTAAATTGAACGCCTCCCTTTGGGTTTCTATCACCAAGGACTTTAGTGATTTTCCTCCATCTCTCATTCTTTTGAATTGGAGCCTTTTTTGTAATTTGCTTCTCTCTTCCTTGTTTTATTTTTTTTTTTTTGGGTACTCGTAGGCTCTTTTTGGCTTGGACTTTCTTTTTTTGTATTACCCCTTGTATTCGTCGATTTTTTCTCAATGAAAGTTGTCTTTTCATAAAAAAAATAAAAATAATAAAAAAACTTATTAAACAAAATACTTTAATAAATTTAATGGAACTTTAAACAATTACTTCGTTTATTAAAAAATATAATTAAATTTATGAAAAAATTAATAAAAATATATATTACAGCTTACACTTTTTTTAATAAGAAGCCTTTCATTGTCTCAAACATATTTCGGGTCTTTCTCCTTCTCAGTTGAATGAGTATCTTGCCTTTCTCGATTCTCAGCTTGTTAGGCTTCGAGAAGAATGGGCCTTGATGATAGAAGAATTTTCTAGAAGGTTGGATATTCAAGCCGCTCGGGCTAGGGAGCTAGCTGAGATTCAAGCCAAATTCTTCCCAGTATTCAAAGATCTATATGCAGAAGATAAAGATGGAGAACCCGAAGTTAAAGACCCCTAAAACTTCTCTTTTGTGTCATCACAAATTGGTGGATGTTTTTGTTTGTAGTTAGCTTGTTTTTTTGTTGGCTTTTGATATCACTCTTATGTTGATTGTATTGCTCATTTTCAAGCCTATATTTTGCTTTCATCTTTTCCTTTTTCTCTCACTCCTATGGGAGTTTTTATTCTTGAACTTTTTCTCCGTCTCATATATCAATGAAAAGTTGTTTCTTGTTCAAAAAAAAAAATAAGAAAACTTTCATTCAACTAAACAAATACAAAATAGCCCCAAGGGCAGGAGAAGATGGAACTCCCTCCCTAAGCTATAAGAATAGCTTTCCAATCTTGTATAGTCATATAGAGACTATAGTTACACAAACAATTTCTCTGCGTGGCATCATGAACAGGAATGAGGTGAACTGTACACTATTACAAAAGACTAAAAAGAAGAGGATTTATTTTCAAAAGCTCTATGATTTCTTTATAGCCATGTACTCCAAAAAAAAGAGCTCTAATCGCACAATTCCAAATAACCTTGGCCTTCCCTTTCATCTTCCACCCCTGCAAAACTTCTGTCAGCCAATCATCTACGTACTTCAACATACACCCAGATAATCCAAAAATGTGAAACAAGAACGTCCAGCCCCTAGCTGGAAAGGGACAGTGAACGAAAACATGGTCTATTGTCTCTTCCTATCTGACACAAAGCAAGAGCACGGGGATAAGGCCCATTTACTTCACTTCCTTTGCATATCATCTTCGGTGTTCAAGGATCTATGTGCTAAGGACCAAAGAAAAAGAAAAACTTCACTTTCTTTGGAATATTGTACATCCAAATGAGGTTAAGCAGAGGAAATTACCACTTATACATCTTTTTTTAATGAACAAGAAACTAAACTTTTGATTGATAAAATGAAAAGAAACAAAAGTTCAAGGATACAACCCCCAAAAAGGGGAGAAAGCGAAAACTAAAAGAAAAAAATAAGAGAATGAAGTGATAAATATCTCCCAATTCATATAGATATCTAAAGTAAAAACAAGGCACGCCAAAAGAGTCTTAAATGCTTTCTTCAAGTTGGGGCATTCCAAAGCTCCAAAAGCTGCAACAAGATTCTTCAGCACACACAAAACCATCTTCATCTTCATCGTCCATCTTCATCTTCATCTTCATCGTCCATCTTCATCAAACTCACTTTCAGAAAAAAAGGCTTTGTATTTCATTGAAAATTTGACGAATGCTTCAGCAAGCTCCTTCTCATAATTAGCTTGGATCTCCAATTTTCTGGTCCATGGAAACTTGCTCAGGAAACGAATTGAGAATCCAAGAAAGAAGGCTGGAAGACTTGCGGCTACAAGCTCCTGCACATCTTATTCCTACATACCAAACACAATAATCCTTTTCCTAAGTAAACCATTACATTCCCAAGCTCCATATTCCCATTTTGCACACTAAGAGCCTCCTTATTGATTTTTCTATTCTCAATCTCATGTTATCAAATCCTGAAAAAAAAAATTTGGTTCCAAATTGCTTTCTTAGAATGACAACACAGCATTTCGGAAGCAAGGATGCACTTCTCATCCCACCCCATTCCACAATTTGGAGAATTAGGATCGAGTTCAAGGAAATCCCCATTCGGGATCAGAATTCCTCACAAGAAAAATTATGGTTTTATATTTATTTTAAATTATTCTTTTGAATAAAATTTAATTAGATATCAATAAATATATTTAAAATTATATATTTCTAATCACAAAATTAGAATTTAAATTATTTACTAGTTTTAATAATTAATATATATTAATAATAAAAGGGTCAAGGAAGGGTTGAGGATAGGGATGAGGTGGTAAAAGAATTTCCCCGTCTCTCTACAAAAATTATTTTCTTCTCTCTATCCCACCCTATAGAACTTTTACCCTCCCTAGGATTACCCCACACCCATAGCTCCCATCATGACATTATATAAATGAAACCACACAAATTAAAAATTGAAATCATGAGGTCCAAATAAAAAATGAATAAAATTCAGGGTACATTCTCATCTTTGGAACATTTTTCAAAATGTTAGAAAGTAAATCTCAAAAGAGAATATAAAAGGTGAATTCATTTCCAAAAATTTCAACTGAAGCTCAAGCAACATTATGTAGTTCTAGGAAGTCAAAAGCAGTTAACATGGTTCCTTACAATTGATTGCAAGCTTATCCCTCGTTTGGCTTCATCATATGCAATTGCCCGTAGTTCTTCATAACTAACATCACCAACAATATCACAAGGTTCACTGCAAACAAAAAAGTGCAATGGTGTTAAATCATTAGATGAATTAGCACTGACATTGATATGCCCCTGACACTTTGGAAAAAACATAATATATCAACAAGTATATTCCTAATATAGGTACAAGATTTAGTTGTCATATTTGTTTTTACATTTAAATAGTGGATTTTAATACAAAATTAAATATTTAGGCCAAGTTTGTTACCAAAAATAGCAATTTAAGAAAGGTATCCCTCTGCCCATCCCCATATTCCATGCATTCTGGAAGATTATTTTCCCCTATAGTTGGGCGATTGTGAGGTTCATTGGCATGCCCTGGTTAGGGTCCTTAGAGGAAATGAACATGAACCGGAAGACCCTCAAGATGAAATTCAAGATGGGGAATCATTCAGTAGTGTTAAAGGGTGACTCATCCATTTGCGACTCATTCATTTCCTTCCACACCATGAGTTGAGCCATCAACAAAGAAGGCCAAGGAATTATGCTAGAGTAAGAACCAAGAGAGGAGGCGGTTATCGTGCCCGAGTTAGCCCCAGTGCTTGAGGCACATTCATACTTTTTTCACATGCCTTGAGGGCTTTCCCCAAAGAGAGCCCATAATCGTGCCATTGAGATGGCAGTTCTCCGGTGAATGTCCAATCATATAAGTATCCATAAGTCCAAAAAAATGAAATCGAACAGCTAGTCCAAGAGATGTTAGCAACGAGGATAATCCAACCCAGCCACAACCTATAATCAAGCCCCTTTTTGCTGGTCCAAAAGAAAGATGAGAGTTGAAGGTTCTACTTCGGCTACTGAGCATTTAAGAAGGAGACTGTGGAATGACTTGGATTATTTAGAGAATGTTAATGAAGCCCGGCAAACGAAGTCAATTTTAGATGTTTTAGTAAATCTCTTCAATGAAGATAAAGGGTCCTTTTCAGGAAATATAGACAATCTTAGTAATTGTCAACAGAAGGGTAGTAATCAGGCTATTCCAAAAGACAGCATCGTGGCCTCATCTACTATCAAGAAGAACACCTCGGTATTTTGAAGATTCAAGGATAGAGAATAAAGGAAGAGATGTAGCAAAGAAAAAGGGGACCTTTTCTATAACAAGTATTTTTCAATACTTTGAAGAAGTTGAAATTACTCTTGTTCCAATCAAGAAGCTTTGATTTAATGCTAAAGTTTTTTTTTTTTTTTTTGGAAAGTGGTTAAGGTTTTGATGGTTATTCTCTTTTGCTTGGCTGGAAGTTGGGTTTTCAAGGTATTCTCTTTTAATTTTCACTTCTATACGATGTTTAGGTGGAAAAACTGTTGTAACTAATGTGGTTAAGTTTTTCGTACTTGCAGACTCCAAGTTTCTCAAAAGAATAAAAGGCAGCAAGGTTCTTCTGAATTTGAAAGGTCATTTTTCATTAAACTTCAGCAAGGGCTGATTGGTTCTCCATTAGGTTTTCTTTTTTTTTTTTTTCCTTTAAGAACAAGAAACAAAATTTTCATTGATAATACGAAAAGGAAGAAAAAAGTTCAAAGAATCTCCATTAGGTTTTCTTCTGAAGATTAAAGGTTGTTGGTGTTGTTTCCTAAGGGTCTTTTAGAATTTACCACTTATTTATTGCAGCCGAAGGTTTCTTTGGAAAGAAAAGTGACTTTTCCCATCCTAGTTTTCAAGGCATATTTATGGGATTTTAAAAGGTTTTTCTCGGCATCATTAATCCCTTTTTGAGAATATGACAGGTTTAGAACGCAGAAGGGGTTTTTTCAATTTTGAAAGGTCATTTGCAGAAGGGGTCTTTCGAAATTCCCCTGGTTCCAACCATTGAGAAGTCTCTTGAATCTGAAAGGTCTCAGGTTTTTATTGTTATGCTTCGGATTTCATGTCTAGGTTTATTAAGAAGACCTTTCATCTTCCTCACTCATGGAGTTGGTCTTTTCTATCCTTGTAATTTATATTTCAGCCGGTCGCAGTTGAGTTTCTTCACGATGTTTTGCAGATTCTCCCAAAAGTGCATTTTTCTTCTTGTTTGCTTGGTTCACTATGGAGTATCCACCGGGAATTTCTAAAGAAGACATTGTTTTATTCCTCAAGCTTTTATCAAGCCTCTCTCTGATGTAACTATCAGTAACTACTTTAGTTAGTCTCGAGTTAGTTAGTTAGTTACATAGTTAAGTTGTTAGTTCTTCCCATATCCCTAGGATATTTCCTATAAATAGCTCGTCATTTGTAACTTTTCCTACACTTGAATACAATCCTAGTTTTCTCTCAAAATTGCCTACACCAATTTGGTATCAGAGCAACCAAAGTCCTTGGGTAATTGTCCATGGTGGGAAGAAAGAATGCTCCGGTAAGCGGAGACTCTTCACTCGGTGACAAAGAAGCGGAACCAACCACCGCTCTCTCTCCACGGTCATCAACCATTCGCTTGCTGATGGTTGAAGGAGCTGTTGAAAATTTACAGCGGAATGTGGTTGAGATTAAACAAATCTTGAACGTTTTAGTAGACAAGATTGATGGTCTGCAGATACAACAAGAACAACCAAGAAAAAAGAATGGCAAGGAGGTTCAAGAACAGGGGATTGCTTTGGATTGTGATGCACAACACCAAGTGCCAAGAATGCTGAAAGATCCTGTTCCTTTTAAAGAACCTCATCCTGCTCTTCGTCAACATTCAGAGTTAGCCCACAATCCGAACCAAGAACCTTATCCCAGAACCTTTTCTAACCATCAAGAACCATACTATGCCCGTCCACCATATCAAGAAAGACAGCAATAACAGCGTGCGCGTCGTCGGTTCGTTCAATGCCCTCGCCGACGACAATTCCCTGTAGATTCATCCAGTGATGAGGAGGATATGCCACTGTGGGATGACCGGAGACAGCAGCTGTACAATCCTTATCAACCCCGCGAACCCAGTGAATACAAGATGAAAGTTGATCTTCCTCCGTTTGATGGCAGGTTAGATATCGAAGGCTTTCTTGAATGGATCAAGAATGTAGAAAGCTTTTTTGAATACATGTCGACTCCGGACCACAAGAAGGTAAAGTTAGTGGCGCTAAAATTGAAAGGAGGGGCTTCCCCTTGGTGGGAACAATTGGACAGCAACAGGCGACGTTTTGGGAAGGTGCCTATCCGCGTTTGGGAGAAGATGAAGAAGCTCATGCGTGCCAGGTTTTTACCCATCAATTTTGAGCAAATCTTATACAATCAATACCAAAATTGTAAACAGGGCACACGATCGATAGCAGACTACACCGAGGAATTCCATAGGTTGGGAGCAAGAACCAATCTTGGAGAGCCCGATCAATACCAAGTAGCTCGTTTTATTAGTGGTCTTCGGGCTGACATCAAAGAAAAACTTCAGCTCCAACCAATTGGATATCTTGATGAAGCCATTGCCACGGCCATAACCGTGGAGGAACAACAAGCTAATCGATTTAAGGTACAATATCAACGAAGGACACTGGGAGACGTTCCAATTGGTTCTTCCAAAAAAGGTACATTCTACCTTGATAAAACCACCCCCGGTTCTGCCTCTACTTCCAAAGGTAAAGGATCTGAGGATACCAAACCTACTGACCAACCTATCAAGAAGACATCCAATGTTTACAATAGACCCACATTGGGAAAATGTTTTCGCTGTGGGCAAGTGGGCCATTTATCCAATGAATGTCCACAGCGTAAAATGGTTAACTTTGTGGAAGATGACCAAGATTTGGGTGAGTCTTGTGGCCATGACTCCGACGGAGATATTGCCTACCTGGAACCCGATGAAGGAGATCAAATTTCTTGTGTGTTGGAAAGAATTTTACTTACCCCTAAGATACAACCTACGCCACAACGACACTCCTTATTCCGCACGCGATGTACTGTCAATGGTAAGGTTTGTACTATTATCATTGANCCAGTGAATACAAGATGAAAGTTGATCTTCCTCCGTTTGATGGCAGGTTAGATATCGAAGGCTTTCTTGAATGGATCAAGAATGTAGAAAGCTTTTTTGAATACATGTCGACTCCGGACAACAAGAAGGTAAAGTTAGTGGCGCTAAAATTGAAAGGAGGGGCTTCCSCTTGGTGGGAACAATTGGACASCAACAGGCGACGTTTTGGGAAGGTGCCTATCCGYGYTTGGGAGAAGATGAAGAAGCTCATGCGTGCCAGGTTTTTACCCATCAATTTTGAGCAAATCTTATACAATCAATACCAAAATTGTAAACAGGGCACACGATCRATAGCAKACTACACCGAGGAATTCCATAGGTTGGGAGCAAGAACCAATCTTGGAGAGCCCGATCAATACCAAGTAGCTCGTTTTATTAGTGGTCTTCGGGCTGACATCAAAGAAAAACTTCAGCTCCAACCAATTGGATATCTTGCTGAGGCCATTGCCACGGCCATAACCGTGGAGGAACAACAAGCTAATCGATTTAAGGTACAATATCAACGAAGGACACTGGGAGACGTTCCAAKTGGTTCTTCMRAAAAAGGTACATTCTMCCTTGATAAAACCACCCCCGGTTCTGCCTCYACTTCCAAAGGTAAAGGATCTGAGGATACMAAACCTACTGACCAACCTATCAAGAAGACATCCAATGTYTACAATAGACCCACATTGGGAAAATGTTTTCGCTGTGGGCAAGTGGGCCATTTATCCAATGAATGTCCACAGCGTAAAATGGTTAACTTTGTGGAAGATGACCAAGATTTGGGTGAGTCTTGTGGCCATGACTCCGATGGAGATATTGCCTACCTGGAACCCGATGAAGGAGACCAACTTTCTTGTGTGTTGGAAAGAATTTTACTTACCCCTAAGATACAACCTACGCCACAACGACACTCCTTATTCCGCACGCGATGTACTGTCAATGGTAAGGTTTGTACTATTATCATTGACAGTGGCAGTACTGAAAATGTCGTTTCAAGTAAGTTGGTTTCAAGCTTAAACCTCAAAGTTTCCCCCCACCCCACGCCATACAAGATCAGTTGGATCCGAAAGGGTGGTGAGGCCCTTGTTAATACCCTATGTACTATTCCATTATCCATTGGGACAAGCTACAAGGATCAAATTATGTGACGTCCTCGATATGGATGTTTGTCACATCCTTTTGGGACGTCCTTGGCCATTTGATACTCAGGTCATCCATAGGGGTCGTGAAAACACATATGAATTTACATGGATGGGGAAAACAGTGGTTCTACTCCCTCTAACCAGCCCTACAAATTCAAAACATGTGGACAAAGGCAATCTTTTCCACATTTGCAATKCAAAACAACTTCTGTTTCAACAATCTGCTCCTATTTTRAGYTTRATAATAAARAGCTTTGATAGTTCCGATACTATTACTACCTCTACCATACCACCGGAGGTTGACCAACTCTTATCCACCTTTCCTGACCTCCTTAATCCACCAGAGTCTTTACCTCCAATGAGGGACATTCAACACCACATTGATCTCATTCCAGGTGCCACATTACCCAACTTGCCACATTATCGCATGAGTCCAAATGAATACAAAATTTTACATGACCAAGTGGCAGAATTGTTAKCCAAAGGCCATATTAAACCTAGCTTAAGCCCTTGTGCTGTCCCAGCACTCCTTACGCCCAAAAAAGATGGATCTTGGCGAATGTGTGTGGATAGCCGGGCTATCAACAAGATTACTATCAAATACCGGTTTCCTATCCCTCGCATCATTGATCTCCTTGACCAATTAGGGGGTGCCAACTTCTTTTCTAAAGTGGATCTCCGCAGTGGATACCACCAAATCAGAATTCGTCCAGGAGACGAATGGAAAACAGCTTTCAAAACAAACGAAGGGCTATTCGAATGGTTAGTCATGTCATTTGGTTTATCCAACGCACCAAGCACTTTCATGCGCCTAATGCATCAGGTACTTCTTCCTTTTTTTACACAAATTCATAGTTGTCTACTTTGATGACATCTTAGTCTATAGTAAAACAAGAAGTGACCACATTACACACTTGGACACTCTATTTTCAGCCCTACACCACAATAAACTGGTCATAAATATCAAAAAATGCCTTTTTCTAGTCTCAGAAATCTCTTTCCTAGGGTTTATAATTAGTCAGCAGGGRTTAAAAATGGATCCAGCCAAAATTAAGGCTATTKCTSATTGGCCTGAACCKAATTCCATAAAAGGYATCCAATGCTTCCTCRGATTAGCTTCTTTTTAYAGAAAATTCATTAAGGACTTTAGCACTMTCGCGSGCCCCCTCACTGATTGCCTAAAAAAGGGCAACTTCCAGTGGTCTCAAGCTCAGAAGCAGAGTTTCCTACATTTGAAACAGAAATTAACAAACAGCCCCGTTTTGAAACTGCCAGATTTCACCCAACCCTTTGAGGTAGCCGTAGACGCTTCTGGGGTTGGTATTGGAGCTGTTTTATCCCAAAATCAACATCCGATTGAGTACTTTAGTGAGAAATTAAGCCCCTCTCGCCAAAATTGGAGTACATACGAGCAAGAATTATATGCCCTGGTTCGAGCACTTAAACAATGGGAGCACTACTTGCTTAGCCACAAATTTATCTTATTTACTGACCATTTCTCTTTAAAGTTCCTTCACACACAGAAATCTATCAGCCGCATGCACGCTAGATGGCTGTCCTTTTTGCAACGGTTTGATTTTGTTATCAAACACAAGGATGGTACCCTTAATAAGGCAGCCGATGCCCTTAGTAGGAAACATTCTCTTCTCACGATTTTACAAAGTGAAGTTACTGCTTTTTCGGCCTTATCTACAACTTACCAAACTGATCCAGATTTCGAAAAAATATGGACTCATTGTCAGCAACACAAACATACAGGGGAATTTCATATCCTAGATGGGTATCTCTTTAAGGGGGATCAACTTTCTATCCCTAATACATCCCTAAGAGAAGCCCTGATTAAAAACCTACATGCGGGAGGTTTGGCCGGTCACTTTGGTCGAGACAAAACACTAACCCTTGTGGGAGCACGCTTCTTTTGGCCTCAACTACGAAAAGACGTCTTTAGCTATGTCTCCAAGTGTTTCATTTGTCAAACTAATAAGGGGACAAAACAGAACACTGGCCTTTACATACCTTTACCTACACCAAAAAATATTTGGGAAGATCTATTTATGGACTTTGTCCTTGGATTACCCCTCACACAACGAGGTTATGATTCAGTGTTAGTGGTTGTAGACCGATTCAGCAAAATGGCCCATTTTTTTGGCATGTAAGAAAACATCAGATGCCATATATGTGGCAAATTTATTCTTTAGGGAAATCGTCCGCTTACATGGCATACCAAAGACCATAGTGTCAGATAGGGACGTCAAGTTCCTTAGTCACTTTTGGAAGACACTTTGGCGCAAATTCGATACTTCACTCAAATACAGCACAACAAACCATCCACAAACGGATGGTCAAACGGAAGTAACAAACCGGACTCTCGGCAATCTCATACGCTGTATTTGCAGTGATAGACCAAAGCAATGGGATCTGGGCCTAGCACAAGCGGAATTTGCTTTCAACCACATGCAAAACCGGACCACAGGGAAGTCCCCTTTTGAAGTAGTTTATACTAGTCTCCCAAAACTAACAGTAGACCTCGCTAATATTCCTCTTTATGTTGATTTCAGTTTGGAAGCTGAACAAATGGCCTAACGAATACAACAATTACATGAAGAAGTTCGCCAACATATTGAAACAACAAATGCAAAGTACAAGCAAAAGGCAGACAAAAAGAGGTGCGACCAAGAGTTCAAAGAAGGAGATTTGGTCATGATACACTTGACTAAAGGAAGGCTGCCTTCTGGTACAGCACACAAGTTACAGAAGAAAAAATGGGGACCTTTTGAGATATTACAAAAGTACGGCCCAAATGCTTACAAAATCCAGCTACCTCCAAACTTCAATATTAGTCCAATCTTCAATGTGGCAGACATATATCCATACGCAGCACCAGATTCTTTTACATTGGCTTCTTAACTCGAGGTCGAGTTTTTTTTAGAGGGAGGGAAAATTGATGTAACTATCAGTAACTACTTTAGTTAGCTTTGAGTTAGTTAGTTAGTTACATAGTTAAGTTATTAGTTCTTCCCATTTCCCTAGGATATTTCCTATAAATAGCTGGTCATTTGTAACTTTTCCTACACTTGAATACAATCCTAGTTTTCTCTCTAAATTGCCTACACCAGGTTGCCTTTTCTTACTTGAAGGGGTGATGAAGGATAATTAAAGCTAACCAGTCTCTCAAGTTGTTTGTTATGACTACCTTCCATCCAAAGATAGATAAAAGATACTTCCAAATCGCTGTAGAGAAAGGGCAATCCATGAAAATATGGGCTTGTGATTCAGAATCTTCTTTGCACCAACAGCACCATAATGGAGAGATGGCCACCATGGACATCTCTTTTGCAGCTTATCAAAAATGTTTAGGCATGAGTGGCTGAACTCCCAGATTTAGAACTTTTATCCACAAATTTAACCTTTTTTGGATAAATGGCCTTCCAAATAGGTTTGTGTAGGCCATGGCAATCTAAAATTTGATAAAACCGTTTTTCATTACAATTTCTTAAAGCAGAGTGGATTTGGAGTACTAGAACTTACTTTTTTATGTTCTAGATGGACTCAATCCCTAAGTTTCTTTTTCTTTTATGAGTTTGGAAAAAAAAGTTGTCGTTAAAAAATTAAAATGAAAAAATAAATTATAATTTTATTGATATTCAGTATCTAATATTTAACATTTAAGTATCTAAGGTTTTCCAAACATTATGCTTTTCTTACACTAGTAGTTTAGTATGTGTACATGATACTTTTAAATTGTATTTTATATTATACTAAAACTAACTTTTTAAGAGTTTGACTATATGCCAAATTGACAAACAAATATTTGATAAAGGTATAAATAGATTTTATTTAATCGTATTATAATTAGTTATATTGGTATTATTTTATATTTAACTTTTAGATAAAAATGTATGAGAAAAATATGTTTTTTCCTTTAGTTCAACAGGGTTGGGTGAGGTGGGATTTGAACCTCTAGCTTTTAGAGAGAATATAGGTTCCTTGACAAATTGAGCTATTAGTAGGAAATCTTACATATATATTTTTTTCATTATTCTATTACTTTGAACCTCATGCACATGATTGATTGAATATCGAAAAAGTTAAATTCATATCAGAAATACTATTATCACAAAATAATTAATCATCAATAAAGACTAAGGACTTGATTTAATATCATTGAAATAATCAAACTTGAAACCTTGGTAGCAAATTGAAAACTAAAGCCCTCGAAACTGGGCTGCCCTTGGAGATCAATTTTAAAAAGTTTAAGCAATATCAAAATTTTGAAACTGCAAATACTTGTCTTACGTTGAAGCTAAAACATTTTTTTTTAAAAGAGAGAGAATTTCATTGGTGAATGAAATGACAAAAATGTAGAGGAAAATACTTACAAAAGACACTGCCAGCTATAACAATGGGCGGAGAGAACGTTTGCAGTAAACCAGCATAATATGGACACAAAACTAAGAATTCTTTCTTTTTTAATCAACATGAACATGAACTACTGTGAAAATATCAATCCTAATGGACCCCCCTCGCGGCTCGCACTTCTCTCATCAAAGTGCTAATCAACCTCTAAGGACAACAATCAAACAGAACCTACACAATGTGTACAAATGACTACACTTCTTTTAGTCCAGTGCAGCTATGCCCATGCCAAAATATATGCATGTAGAGTATAGATTAGCAGTCTTGAAAATGAGATAAAGGATATTATAAATATATACCTGGGCTAATGCTTGGTATCCAGCAAAAAAGCTTCTCTTCCTCAACTGTTCACTGGAATCCTTGCCATTATTAAATCCATGCACATCAAGAAATCTTTTGTATAACTTCCTCTGTAAGGGAGAAAGCTTAACGGATATCACAAAGACAGTTTTAGGTGGCAAGTCCTTCTTTACCACAGTCATGTCCATTCTTTGAACAAACCCTTTTAACTGTTCATATAGGATATGAGACCTCTGGTTCATTATTTTAACATCATCCAGAGTAGAATTAGTATGCTGCCCATTCTCTATAGGGTTCTGAAAGCTGCATAAGAGAGTGGTTAGAGAAATATGAAAGGACAAAAAGGTAGAAGAAGAGAAGATTGAAGGTGGGAGTCTTACCGGTTCCTAAACTCATGGCTACTTCCCAGGAAACCTTCTCTCACAAAATCGACCATCTGTCCCAATTATCATATCAACGAATAAAGAATATCATATATAAATATATAAGCTGCTGTAACTGTTTCGTATACTTACGCAATAATACTCCATGAGATTGTTTTGTAGTGGTGATCCAGTTAACGCAATCCTTCTCTGGCATTTCACTTGTTTCAAAGCCTGGGTTATATCAGCCTTGGTATTTTTAATCATGTGGGCCTCATCACAAACAAGTATATCTGGTCCATCCTGGCAGTTAGAAAGTAGCAAAAGTCATATCCATATGAAGTTAGCATTACTGGTACGAAATAATATTTTTCCTCCACGACAATATGTAATCGTATAGGGAACTCGAGTGTAAGGGTTGTTTTGATACAGAATCGCAAGTTCATTGCCTATTTCAGCCAAGTTTTGTCTGAAAGGTCACACTCAAGCCCATTTATGAGAGTTTTGTCCGTGTCTGACACTTGTTGGACACATAACTGACACTTGTTAGGCACAATAGACCTGTGTTGAATGCTAGTTGAACAAATTGTACACGAATCCAAACACTTGTGGGGCACATTGTCAAAGACTTGTTAAGAATAATGAAATTGAACACCATGAACATTTTGTGACTGAAATATATATTATTACTAAAGAATTATTGACTTTAAATTTCCTTTCAGTTAAGATGTTAAATTATTAAAAAAATCAAATTGGTCTAGATCTATCTCGAACATTTGACATAAAATATTGTAACATAAATGGATAAATACCCTAAAAAAACAAATTTTTAGCATGAGAATCATTGAAATGTATAAAAATAAAATATATCTGTAAAAATTGTATATATCTGCAGCTTTTACTTCTCATTGGTTTCAGAGTGGTCAAAGGTTCTTGTCTCATGTTCCAAGGAGTTTTTCTTCCTTTTTTTCCCTCATTGCCCTGGCATCTCTTATTTAATGAATGGGGTTCCTTTGGTTGTTTTGTCCTTAATTTTGAAGCATTTCTTTGATTAGTTGGGCCCATCCTCCACTTGCATCACGGTTTTCTCTACAAGCTTCTTTGGAAGACATCACGGATTTTCCTCTTCAAGTTTCCAAGGAAGACATTGTTTCATCCCTCAAATTCATCTTTAGTTTATCTCCCAATCAATTGGATGTTTATTTGTCCTTACTAAATTCCGTGCTTGTCAAACTTCTAAAAGAAAGGGTTGCCGGTTTAGAAGAGTACTCTAGAAGAAAGTTGGAGTTAAAAGCTGATCAGGATGCTGATCGGGATAGAGAGATCGCTGAAATTGGGGCCAAGCTTTTTAAAGACTTCAAAGACTTGTCCCGTGAAGATGCTTCTGATGATTAAGACCTTTAAAGTTTGTTTTTGGCTTCTTGTAATTAGGAGGCTCATTCTGATAGTAGTTATTATGGTCTTTATGTCACTATTCTTCTTGTTTTATCGAGTTGTATCTCCTTCTTGCATTCTTCTTTCTCTTTTCTTTATTTTGTTTTCTTCACTCCCATTGGGAGTTTTTTTTTAGCAATTTTGTTTCTTTTCATTAATTAATGAGAAGTTCATATTTTATTCAAAAACAATCGTATTTTATTATAACTGTATTCTTGTCATGTTTGTATGAGGGATGTTCATCGGCTGGTTGATGTCAATTTTCGCACAAACCCGACACCGAAAACCGACCATTCGATTTCAGTCGGTTGAAAACTTATGTTTTTCTTACCTTTTGTACAAACCGACCAATCAACCGACAATTCGGTCAGTCGTTATCAGTTTTTGGTAGATGCTAGAGGAAGAGTCAAGTTGTTGCTAAAGGAGAATCGGAGAGGACGGAAAAAAGGGAAAACAAAAGTGTGGATATCAAATAGCCACGTGAGTGAGAGAAATAGGAGTGTAAAAAAAAACAATAGAAAATAGGATTCACATGAATCACATGAATGCAGTGGGCTGAATGCAATGGGCGCTGATTCCTGAAGTTTTTTTCCTTTATCAAATCAGCCGATCGGTTTGCTTTAGTATTGTATGGCCCAACCGACCGACTAGTCGGTTTCTTACAAGGAAAAACTGACTCCGACCGATTCATTTTTTAAACCGACTGACTGATGTCGGTTTAGTTGATTTTGGTTAGTCAAATTGGTTTTTCGAGTGTGCTTGATCACCCCTAGTTTGTATCATAGATTTTTAGAATTTACATGTCATATTTGTGTTTCTTAGTAAGACGGAGTTTGTGGCAATTGTGTTGTCCATCAAATAATTGATCCATTATGTTTTCATTAGGAAGTTTGTGATTCGAACAGAACAAAAATCACTAAACTACTTGCTATAATAGTGAGTCATTTAGCCTGAGTATATAGAACGGCCCAAATATGATTTTGAGATTCAATATCATTCAGGTCTGAAAAATAAGGCAAAAAGCTATCCAGATGACCATTATTAATTAGTTTATCAACACCAATGGTCCCTAACCTCGTTGATGCCCAACTAGTGATTGAGCAAGTGTACAAGAATCCCAACTTGATCAAAATTAAAAACGACCTTCTCATGGATTGGGTGGCTACCTAAGGTATTCCTACATCAAGGAAGGTTCTTGGGCATGGTATATTAGTTCTTTCCTTGTTCTTCACCACTAATACTTACAACTCAACATACATTCCATGACACAGCAGTGGGAGATCATTCACGATTCTTGTGGACCTATAAGAGGTCGACTGGAGAATTGCATTGGCAAGGGATGAAAAAAGATCTAAAGAAGTATGTGCTGGAGTGTGCAGTCTACCAACAAAACAAAACCTTATCCCTATGCCGTACTGTTTTCTAACTCCATTACCTATTTTAGGGAGAATTTGGATGATATCACCATGGAAGGGTTGCCTAAGTCCAATGGATTTGACACCATATTTGTGATCATTGATGGCTACATAAATATGCACAATTTATTTCTCTTAGCCAAACATTCAAGGTCATGCTAATGGAAGCTGCATTTGTGAAAGATATGGTTCAACTCCATGGGTTCCCAAGACACATTTCTAATAGTGATAATGTGTTTGTTAGTCAATTTTGGATTGAGTTGTTTCAAATTGTGGAAGAGCACTATCTATTACCCACGGGCAAATGGTTAAATGGATAATCCACGGTATTTAATAAATGTTTATAGACATATTTGAGATGTTTTGCAATGAGAAACAACAAAGTTTTGCATAACGCAACTTTCCAGTTTCCAGTCCTCTCGCACCCCACTTTTTCGGCTTGTTTATGTTAGACCACCATCTTGACTAGCTCATTATGCGAAAACTCTAAATTCTACTCTCAATCAGATATTTTAAGAGCAGGATCAGGCATGTAAAGTCTTTAAATTACAATTGGGTCATGCACAAACACGGATGGAAAAAACCAATAGATCATCATCGAAGGGACATATTTGAAATCCAATAGATCAATATCCCCAGTGTGTTTAAGTTCACTGTCAAAACACTAATGGCCTATTTGAAATCCAGGCCATATGGACAGCAATCACTAGCTCCAAATCTTAATGAGAAATTAGTGCCCAAATACTCGATACCTACAAAGCTCTACAAATGAATTGGTAACATGGCCAACAAATTGGACCTTCCACCAAAATCTTGTTTTTCATGTGTTTGGGCGGGTCTTCGCAATCCAACATGGATAATTTCAATGTGCATACTTCAATTGAGGTTGGTGAAGTAGGAATTAGTGAGGGGTTTAATGAGTTTAGGTTGGATGTTGCAAATGCTCCGAAGAACGGTCAACTAATGCCAGAAAGGGAGATCATGCAGATACCTTGCAATAAAGAAAATCCTTTTGGTGAAAAAGAGTGTGTGCTTTAGTTGTAGAGACATCATTCTAGATTGATATAAGAAATCAAATGTTCAAAATGAAAGGCTCCTGAGGAGGGTGTGGTCATTCAGAACCCAACTTTCTAACCAAGTTTGTTTGTTCGTCTCTTTTTCTTCTTTTTTTTAAATAAGAAAAGGCACTTTTAACTAAGAGGAATTGAAAAGTACAAAGGACCATGTAGTTACATGAAAGCTCTCCAGTCAATAAAGTGGAGAAATTGTAATTACAGAAGTATTTTGCTTTAGCCCACAACACCATCAAATGAAGGACACCCTCCCAAAGTTGGTCAAGAGAAGATTCTTCATATATGAAGATTCACTTATTGCATACAAACCAAAGGACCCAACAAAAAGCAGTAAAAGCAAGCAGCCAATTTTGGAACAATTATAATCAAGTATAGTGACTAATTATCATTTGTCCAATTATTCATTTCTATTGCAACTATCTATAACTAGCCTTTACATCAACTTGACGTTAAGTTTGGAACAACCTTGTCTACATAGAGCAACCTCCTAGTTTTGTTATTCACACGAAGTATGGTAAAGTCTGTTGTCTTTGCAAGCAAAGCAAGGTCTATAAGCTTGGTCTCCAAAATTTAACGAGATAATTGAAAAATCTAAGATAAAGAAGAAAAGTCTGACTAATCTATTTTCTATACAGCCTTAGAGTGACATTATTCTGGTTATTCACGTGGAACAATTGTCATTACTAGGAGCAACATGTTAAGTATTCCATCTCCCAAAACCTTTATTCATAGTCAACTTCATACAAAATTTTTAGGGGTATTAAGGTATCTCTTAGGCATCAAGGTGTTAACGAGTAAGGATTCTTTTACTAAAGAAAAGTATGAGAACAAAAAAATTGGAAGCAACATATCAGAAAAAATGGTGCCTGATCAAGGGGGTAATGGTAGTACTTTCCCTCATCAATGAATATGTGCATTGGACGTTGACCCGGAGTGGACATCACGCAAAGTTTAACTTTGTAACAAGTGCAAAGTTCTAGTTATCTCAATTGCCAGGACATTTTAAAGTAGACAGATGAGGCAAAATGTCAACATTGTTTCTTTTCATAGTAATTTAATCAATTTTTCCAAGATTTTCAGCAATTATATAGTTTTTACCAACTAGACAAGGCATGTAATAATATAACAATTAGTTAGTAAATTCTCCCGCCTAAAACAAGTGGTACGACATCCAACAGGTAAGATCATCATAATTTAGTAAAATAAATTTCAAAAAGAAGTAAGAAGACATTTTAAAGGTAAAATATAGTCACCTGCAATGCATGATAAATTTCTTTAGCCATGTGTCGGTCCTTGACATGTTTACCAAGTGATAGATTCCGGAAAGCACTATAACCAATTAAAAAGACACCACCCTTAGCTCTCCACTTTGCAAGCAACTCTGCCCTTCTCTCCCTGGCAAGTAAGAAAAGGCATCAACAATAAAAAAGAGATAAAGTCAACCAAAATCCTATGAATATATTTCAATTTTCTTTCATTTCCCATATTAACATGGTAAAATTTACATATAATATTTAAATAACTTACAAATGTAAAACTAAACCAATTATTTTAACTACGGGTGCAGAACACAACCGAAAAAACTGACAAAACCGAATTGAGCATAGCCGATTTTGCAGTTCAGTTATTTTTTCGGTTTAGTTCGGTTTATTAAATTTCTAAAACTTAAATATGCGGTTTGGTTACAATTTCCCATGTGACTTTTGATGCTGACCATGGTGAGCAATACCCCTCACAGATCACGCCTACCCTTCCCCTCCCCAAGTAAAATTTTTTTATTTTGTTAAATTAATTTTTTTACTTTCGTTATTCATGTTAGGGTTTCTTCTCTTAGTCTTCACTCTTTACATGTTTTTTTTAACAAGAAACGAGACTTGAGATGAAAAGAAGAAGGATACAATTCCCAAAAAGGGGAGAAAAGTGAAAACTAAAAAACAAATTAACAACCAAACAAGAAAAAGGAGTGATAAATCTCCCAATTCATACAAAAATCTAATAGTGAAAACTTGATAAGAAAGACACTCCAAAAGAGTCTTAAAAGCTTCCTTCAGGCTGAAACAAGATCAGAGATGACTACTACACATTGATAATGAATCAAGGCTCCTAAAGATGCAACAAAATCCAACAAACCATCCAAAAACCATCACATAACACCGTCTTCATCCAAATCGCTTTCAGAAATCAACTCCTTGTATTTGGTGTTAACTTCAGCAATCTCCTTCTCATACTTAGTTGGATCTCCAACTTTCTTTTAGCTACTTCAATACACAAAGCCATTTCTTTGTTGATCTTTTCCAAATCCAAATTCAGTACAACTATCCATGCATTGAGATCTTTCTCCAACTTTCTTTTAGCTACTTCTATACGCAAAGCCATTTCTTTGTTGATCTTTTCCAAATCCAAATTCAGTACAACTATCCATGCATTGAGATCTTTCTCCAACTTTCTTTTGGCTACTTCTATACACAGCCATTTCTTTGTTGATCTTTTCCAAATCCTGATTCAGTACAACTATCCATGCATTGAGATCTAAAATAATTTCTCCTGAAGGCTTGATGATGTGGGCATGAGATGTAGCAGGAGAGACCCCATTGTAGCTTGCAAAGCAAGAAGAATGAGATGGAGAAGAATAGGCACCATTGTAGCTTGCTAAGGAAGAGGAAGATGAGTGAGAATCCCTGTGAAAAATGCTAAAAGTTACAAGTCCCACTGGCTGCTAGGAGTGTTCATCGGTTGGGTTGGATTGAGTTTTGTAACATTTTAGACTCAACCAAAATCCCAAACGATCCTCGTTAAATTACTAATCTAATCTAAACAGACCCATAAAAACTGGATTGGGGTGGTTCGGCTCTATCGTCTTTCAAAACTCACACCCTGGCTGCTAGGGGTGTTCATCGGTTGGGTTTGATTGAGTTTTGTAATATTTTAAACTCAACCCAAACAAATCCATAAAAGCTGGATCGGGGTGGTTTGGCTCTATCGTGTCTCAAAACTCACACCTCATAGGTATAAGGTAGTTTTTTTTAATAAGGTACCAAGCTTTCTTTGGAGACAGAGTTGATAAAATAAAAAGCGTATACGAAAAAATAGCCCCAGCAAGAGGAGTCAAACTAGGCCAAAAGGGGCTTCAATCTAACAAAACAAGACCTAATAGATAATTACAAAAGTCCTTAACCACCAAGGCCCAAAGCGAAACATGAAATCTCGAATCTAACGAGAGACCAAACTACATTGAAAACAAATAAACCCGCTACAAATAGCTTTCCATAGATTTCTAGAAGTGCCTTTCGTACTTACTCACAATAACTTTATGCCATAAAGTCAAACTCCTGAGAGAAACGCCATAACCACTTAGCAAACACTGCCTCATTACGCACCCTAACATTGTCAATGCTTAAATGATGTAGTCAAAGATGCTTTTAAGTTGTTCTTGCCTTTAAGTAGTTGTAGCCTAAGTATCTGTATATGCGTGGCTTATGTTTCTATTATTTCCTTTCACTGTGCAGTAACAAGAAGTTACTGTTAAGTTGTTTTAAACCAGAAACCTCTATAAATAGGGTTCTCCTTCATTAATAAAGGGATTGATTCATTTAACAAAAAACTCTCTAATTGGTTTACATCATTAAACCTCCCCACTTCAACTACTAGGTAACCAAATCCCACTTGACTAAATGAGAACTCTTCCCATCTCTACTCATTTCCATAAGAAATCTCTCAGGACCTTTTCTAAGACTTCACTAACTGAACCGAGTATCTTAAACAAGGAAAAGAATTAAATCGAAATCCCACTCAAAACGGAATGGATGAGAGTTAGTCTACCCTATTAGAAAAGATTCGAGATTTGGTCTACCCGGGAGTTAAGGATTGTTACGGTACCCACTGAATTAAGCATGTCTGTCTAGGACTAGATCTTGGTATTGGTCCATAACGATCAAAGTCAAATCGTGAACAAGCAAATTTGATGAAGCAACAACTAGAACCATAGAGAAGCGTGTCTGGTACAATTTAAAGAATCCATCCAGCCTTTGAACAGAGAAATCTATCAGGTCTACTAACCCAACCTTTGGACACTCCGACACCGACCCCTCCTATAGGAACTCAAAGGAGACGGACTCTGAACAAATACAGAAGTAGAAATTCTAAGGATACATTTAGTTGGTGATCTGAAAACACAAATTTGAAAATAAAGGATTCAATGAAAAATAGAGTTGTATTCATTGTTTTCAATGTTTTCGAATACTTGTTCGGTAGCAGATTTGAAAATTGAATCTCATTTTATGAAATTGTTCAACACATGTTTAGTAATATCTTGTAAACTAGTGGTAACTACCAACTAAATAATTCGTTCAGTCTAAAATAATATTAATTAATTATTTTACAATATTATATAATTTACATATATTATATTTTACATGTTTTAAATTTAACCAAAAAAATTGAAATGAATTTATAACATGAAATAGTATAACGCCCTGCAATCTTTCTAAAGCGCTAACGCCTTTCCAAGAGATTTGGAAATGAAAATGAAAGAGGAAGGCGTATTATCGTCGACGGCTTTCGCGCAAGTTGCTTATCAAAGTTTTATCTTCTTCAATGTAATTATGCATTTTTCAGTTTCAAATTCAAAATCTAAAAACACTGAAAACATAAAAATGTTGTTCTCAAAGTTTCCACTATTTGGATCGCATAATCTGAAAAACATAAACAAATTTGCTAAACAAATATTCGCTTGATCCATTTGATTCCGTGAATCTGAAAACAAGAAACATAATCTAGATTGCATACCAAAATTACCAAACAGACCCTAAAAACCTAACTCAACCTACATTTGGTTGCAAAGGTAACTAGGTAGAAGGCCACCATGGTCTAAATCCATTCCCTCTGACTCATTTACCATTTACTATTTACATTGGCTTTTATTAACAACTAGGCCAACCTAAGATGTTTTCCTAAAATCTCTTAGTTTTAACGGTCATGTGCAGGAAAGAGAAAAAAGTTCAAGGAAGTGCTCTTTGAAGGTACTTAAACCACTCCAATGATCAATCCAAAAGGATTTGTTACCATCTCTAATTTTGATACATGAATATGGAAGAAAGAACTCATCAAGCTTGCCACTGAGAACCACTTTATCAAGAGTTAGTGGTTGGCGTCTTTTATTTTGGTTCCTTTGGTTTTTTCTTGGTTTATTGTTAAAAAAGGGGGGAAAAAAAGAAAAGGTTGAAGGGAGGCACCATTTACATGTGGAGAACATTTTGCTCACCTTAGGCATGCCACAGGGCATACACCTCATGTTCCTTTTAGAACATTGACGACGTGTTCACCTCTGAGGCGTGCCACAAGGCTTACACCTCAAGTTCCTTTTACTACGTGATGCCCACAATTATTGGAGACACTGAGAATACACCTCAATCCAAGTAATAAAAATATATGAATAAAGCAAGCAATTGGTTTCACCTTGTTACATCTTCTAGCATGAAAACACGAAGAGGCTTTAATTCTGAAGGCTTCCACTTTAAAAATTCTTGCCGCCAATTATGCAACACATTAACAGGGGTGACTATAAGAGCAGTTCGTAGACCCAAGTCCACACTTCTCATTGCAGTGTATAAGAATGCTATAACCTGAGACCGTAGTTTAATTCAGCAAAAAAAATTAACTAAAGCCATGAAAAACAAGTCAGAATCGACTTAAAACTCAGAATTTCAGGTATAGAAGTAGGCAAAAGGATTGATCACAATATTTCAAAGTATTTATTCCTTCTTTCATTGATCTAGGAACTGTAGTCTGTAGCTGTCACGATATCTCATGAATTTGTTCTATTTCAATGAAAAGTTGTTTCTTGTTAAAAAAAATTATAAGTTATGACTGTAAAGCTTAAACTAATATAATTTCAATGATATGCCTTCCCCATTTTTTCTTGTTTTTTTCAATAAGTGGTTGCATTGAAATATACAAAATTTATAAAAGCTGGCAAGATCAGAAAATTTTAAAAATTACATTTAAAATTTAAAAGTCAGCATAGAAGTTAACCATCTTCGTTGAAGAACATCAAGTCATCCTCAACTTTTCATGAAGAGTATTTATAAAAGAAAATAGACTTGCGATATCAAGAAGACATGATGTTAGGCCCATAATAATGGATGTTTATGTTTTTTAATGAGAAAACCAATTTTCATTAAGAAAAAAATAAAAATATAAAAGAGCAATAAATAAATTTTTTTTTTGAGTCGTAGCTTTGCTCCAGTATACCTGGAGCACCCGTACCTGCCCCAAGGAAAATAAATAAAAAAATATTTTAGAGAAAAAAAAAACGAAAGAAGCAAAGACATATCTACCTAACCATAAAATACTACAAAAAAGAAGGATCCAATTAATATGAATGAGATACCGAGGAAAAGCCTTAAAATCTTTAGAAACCCAAAAGAAGACATTCAACCCAATGTTAAAGGCTAAAGGCTGCCTTGAAGCTTTTCCTCTTAACGAGGCGAGGCGTAAGCCTCAATTTTAACTAAAAAAGTTATACAAATCCTAAATTTGTATGATCAAATATTGCTAAAATCTAAATATAACAGTTATATAAAAGTATTAAAAAAAAAATCAACCCTACCAGTTGCCACTTAAATAAAAGTTCTAAAAGGCATTCTTAACATCACCACTATTATCACTAATAGGATCAATTTATATCTTTGTCTTCAATATTTTGAAAGCTTAGGCAATAAAAATAGTAATGGATTAAATTTTCACGGACTCACAACTCATGTTTTCGTATTCCATACACAAATAAACCTCCATATTTTTTAAGGAGGTAAATTAATATTACTCTTCTAATCATTCACGAGGCGTAAAGACTTTAAGCCTACGTTTTCAGGGAGGCGAAAGCCTCTTCTACGTGAGGCGTAAGCCTATTATAATCCAAAGAAGGCATAAATCATGAGGCTAAAAGTTAGAGTCGTGCCTTGAGTCGAGCCTTAAGGCGTTCAAAAGCTTTTAAAAACATTAACCAACATTTTAAAAAGCTTGAGGTGGCCTCGAGACTTTTTCTTAAGTCTCATGGTGAGACGAGGTGAGGCATAAGCCTTGAAGCAGTATGAGGCGTAAGTTTCATTTTGAATAAAAAAGAGAAATAAAAATCATAAAGATGTAAAATCTTGTATTCCCAGTTTTGTAATATTTATACAACAGCTAAAATGATATCTAAAAAAATTATGGAAATAAAGAAAGAATACTTATAAAATACTAAGAAAAAACCAAAGAAAAATCTGGAGAAAAAAAAGGTTGGAAAAAATACAGGGAAAAAACATCTATTTTTAAAATTAGAAGTTAGAATTTAGAAACAATACTAAACAAAGTTAGAAAACTCGTAAAATAATTTTTGAACAGTATCTGTTCAAAATTGTAAAACCATAAACAGTAGAAAAAATGTTGAGATGGCAGTGGCAGTGGCATGGCATAAAAGACAAGAAAAAATAAGACTGAAAAAGAAAATCAGTTTGGTCTTGCGACCACCGAAAAACAACAGCAACAAAATAAACAAAGAAAAAGAAAGTTGACTCATTAAATCTCACTACTGCCAAAACTACTGCTTGAAATTTTCTAGGTAAATGAAGCTTGAGTGAGGCTCATGCCTCCACCTTCGGAGGTGTAAACCTCTTTTTATGTGGCATAGGCGTAACCTAGAGGCACCCCATGAATCCCTTGCCTCAAGGCTTACACCTCAAACGCATTTAAAAACATTGGTTGGTTGAAGATCAAGACCCTTTAAGCTCTTCTCGGGAACAGCTTTTGGTAATCGAAAAGGCTTCTTACACTGATAATCAAAGCTTTTTTAAATATTTTGAATATTTACCCTAATTCCAACTTTCAATCACTGATAGGTAGGCTTTAATTAAGGGCAACAGATTTTTTGGTTGGTTCTGCATTGTAGCAGTTCTAAGGGTTGAGATCTTTCAAGTCTTCTTGGCTTTAAAAGAGTGCATTAAGGGTTTTCAAAAAGGTTTGTCCGTAGCATGGTGACTCTTTTCTTGGTGGGGGAGGTTTCAGATTCATTATTTCTTCATTCTAGTGGTCAAGACGTTTATATTTGTAAATCATGAAATATATAGCTCCTCAATTTTGTGTTATGCGGTTGTTTTGGTTTCCTCCTCAGCAAACAGTCATTTTGCATTGGCAAGCTTCACTGAAAGTTTTTTAAGCCTCCGTTCTTTTAGCTTTTTGCTATTTCTTTGGTTTTAGATCTCTTCTAGATTGTTGGTTGTGGTTTTGATTATTTGGTCTATTACCTTTGTATTTTGGTTTCTTTGTTTTGTTGTTTTTCTTCTTTTTTCGCTTCCTTTGGGAGCTTTTATCCTTAAACATTTTTCTTCCTTTTTCATATTATCAATGAAAAGTTTGTTTCTTGTTGAAAAATAAAAAATAAAAATAAAAAAACAACATTGGTTGGTTGACCACAAATGTAACAAGTACACAAAGTAAATATAATATTACCTAAATTCTCATTGCAATTTTCAAATACAAATAATTTATATATATTATTATATTATCAGACATTCCAATGCTTACAAATTAGTATTATACGAAGCAACAAATATTTTTTCTTCTCTTCCTAGTACAATTATCAGATAGAGTTCTTTCTTCAATTGTTCCTTCCGAAGATGCCTCCTCTAATTCTTTGGAATCAATTCTTTATCATTTTTTCTATTTGTTAGAAGAGGAAAAAAATTGGATGCATAAACAAGAGCATAATAGAGATTGCTCATTGCAGAACCAAATACCTGGAAAGTTTTACCAAGGCCCATTGTATGAGCAAGAATACATCCAAGGCCTTTATCACCAGACTTCACTTTCCTTATTGATTGAATGATATTTTCCCACATAAATCTTATTCCAGAAACCTGCAGCAGAAGACAATAGTATAAAAATAAATAACAATAGATCAGAAAGGGCTGGTAGTATACAAAAAAAAACTCAAAGTCGTAGAGGACTATTACTAAAGGACGATTTTTAAAAGTTCAAATGAAAGTAGAATAGGACTCTTAAGTGAGGCAGAGTAATCTGGAAAGGTTTTACCAAAATGGGTTTTGTGCGGCCTAGATTAAAAAAAATAAATAGTCCAAATGACAGTTATACGACATCGTCATCTAAGAAGAATAGGGATGATTTCATTTGAGTTAAAAATAAAATGGTTAAAAGAAGGTGACAGTAATTCTGCATTCTTCCACAGGAATATTGTAGCTGGAATAAGGAAATATATTCAAAAAATAATATCTGAGAATGACAAAGGTTCACAGACAGATAGAGGGAAAGGGAAGAGAAGAAAGTCGGTGGGTTGGTTGGGGGGAGGGGGTCTTTGGCTAGAAATGCCCTTTGAAGAAAATGAAGGGCTTGTTTGGCGTGCAATTACTTTCAAATGCTTTACTAGTTTAATTACTAAATAAAATAAATTATTATACTCCCTAAGTATTCATTCCCACCACCAACACCACCAAGAAAAAAGAAACACTCAAAGTATTCAAATTCTAGAAATATTGAAAAAATATTCACGAGCATGTGCAGCTATTTCCAAACCTGATGGGTTTTCAACTTCGACGAAATGCTCGATGGCATTCTAACTGCCTCTTCTCCCTTTTCCCTCACAACGTTCACTATATATCCAGTGGAAACATCACCAAGGACTTCAACACTAGCACCTTCAGATAGGTTTCCACAAAAGCCAGCAGAGCTCATAATTTTAGAATTTGAGGAAAACTGAACTTGTAAAGATTTCAGACGTTCTTGGCGTTCCTTCAGAGGGAAAAATATGAAACGAAAGAAAAGAAAACCATGGTGAATTATTCTAGAAGTTACAAGTTTATATCTTAAAAATTGCTCCAGAGAATTTACCTTTTCTATGGCAATTTTCTTTTTAGTGTCTTCTCCTAGTTCAGCATCATCAAGTATCCTCCGTATCTTTTTCTTACGCTTTCTCTTTGAGCTGATTGGTAAAGTAAAAAAGTATAGTCATATTATAACAGAAAAACAGAGTCCAATTTAGGTTATAATAATAAAAATAACTTTTATATTTTTTTTGTTTAAGGAAACGCAAGTTTTCATTCAAAAAATTTAAAACTACGTAAGAGTAGCAACAAACATTATAATAAATGTTATAAAAGTCTAGCCATTTCCATTGCATCAAAATGTCTAGCAAAAAAGCTTGTTAGTATTAACATGAAATGGATCAAATTGGGGAGATGGGCTAGAGATGTGACCCAACCCGGCTATTATAGGGTTCAATTTGCTTATTCCTCTCTTTTCTTTATAATTTATAGGTTGATAATTAGTGCAACTACTATTCTTATGACTAACTATGGTGCCAGACTGAGACAAAACGACATCTAGAATTTCAATACCTATAGATTCTTTTCCATCTTTGGCTTTTTTTAACAATTTGCTTCGCGGGTTTTCTTGGTTAATTTTTTTTGTTTCTTGATACACGTATTGCCATACAAATTTGAGATCATCCTTGTAAATAGGTTTCTAAAGGAATAGCACAATCCTACCACCAATGCTTTCGTAGCCACATTCAAATTCACCATCAAGGCCTTGAAATCCCCTCTTATAAATCGGATTTGGAAGTTCTGTTGTCCTAAGAAGATCAAAGTTTTTTTGTGGAGTCTTGCTTTCAGAAGCCTCAATACTCATGATAAATTTGAGAAAAAAGTATCCAAATTGGATTCTATCCCCATCGGTATGTCCTCTGTGTCTTAGTAGCAAGGAGACACTCTACCACTTTTTCCTCCATTGCAAATTTGCCTCTATGTGCTGGTCTTTTTTGATGAGGGAATGTGGTCTCTCTGGATGCATTCCCCATTTGATTGATGATTGGCTTCTGGAAGTGGTTCAAGGAGGCCCTTTACAAGGCAAAGCAAATATTTTGTGGAGTTGTGCTAGTAGAGCTTGTCTTTGGAGCATATGGAAAGAAAGAAATCAGAGAACTTTCAACGATAAGTCTACTTCTTTTGTTAATTTTTGTGAATTTTTACAAATTACTATGGCCTCTTGGTGCCTCACTCATAGGAGATTTTTTTTAATTACAGTCATGCGTTACTTTCTCAAAATTGGCAAGCTGTAATTTGTTAGCTTCTTAGAGAAGGACCTCCTCGGCCCTTGCCCATAGGTTGTCTTCTCCTTTTTTGGTTCCTAATACATATCCTGCGTTTCTTATCAAAAAAAAAAAGGCTATGGTTACAAAATACCTTCTTATGGATGGAGGCCCACCAAGAAGTTGTATGTTTAATATTCACAAAAAAAGAATCTAAGGGAGCAACTTTCTACTCAAAAATTATGTCGCTTCTTTCCCTCCAAAGAAGCCATAGAACCTCCCTTGCTGCACAATTCTATAACACGTAAGCTTTACCTTTAAGAGAATTCCCCCCAAAGCCTTCAGTTATAAAATCATCAATAGACTGGGGAAGACAAAAAGAGAAATCCATGAGGGAGGCCACGTAGTGCCAAGCTTTGGCAGCAAAAGGGCAATGTAAGAAACGGTGATCTACATTTTCTGTGTTCTGCCAACATAAGACGCAAGCTATTAGGCACAAAGACCAGTGGGGGAGTTTCTTCTGGATTTTGTCCGCCGTGTTTGTGCCCCAGTAGAAGAGGGTCCATAAGAAAACCTTAACCTTTTTCGGGACTCTGAAATTCCAAATCATGGAAGCAGTCGCGGAATTTAGTTTAGGAGGAGAGGTAACAACCAAGAAAGCCGATTTTGGCAGTAAAAACACCTTTGTTGTCTGCTTTCCACCAGATTCGGTCCCTACCTTAACCGAAAGTAAAATTTTCAAGCCTCTCTGTGAAAATAGCCCATCTATCAAGTTCTCTATCAAACAGATTTCTCCTCAAGCCTAAGTCCCACGTATCAGCCTGTTGATTCCAACAATTCCTGATCGCCTTCCCTTTCTTAGATGATAGCCCCTAGAAATTCGAAAAGAGAGAGACAGAGGAGCTGAATCTGTACAAGTGTCTTCCCAAAATCTCACATTTTCTATCGAGGAAACTTTGTAAAAAGTGAGGGTGTAATACACCGAAAAGGTGCCTTGGATGTCAACCCATGGCCTACCATACACCGAAAAAGTGCCTTGGATGTCAATCCATGGCCTACCCGTAGCAGAGCCTCCAGAAGGAATCGTGGACAAAACAAGATTGTCCTCCGCATAGATGGCAGCAACAACTTTCCTCCATAAGCTGTTTTTCTCCACTACAAATCGCCACAACCATTTCATTAGAAGGGCCTTATTTCTAAGGTTGAGAGAGCCAATGTCGAGACCTCCCTGCTGATGGGGCAAAGCCGCCCATGTCCATTTAACCAAGTTACCAATCCGTCTTTGCTGACCTCCATTCCATATGAAATCCCTCATTAGTTTCTCCATCGAAGAAGTCACTGATTTAGGGGCTTTGAAAATGGAGAAGTGAATAGGGATACTGTTTAAAACTGATTGGGCAAGGGTGAGACGAACACCTTTAGAAAGCATCAAAGATTTCTACTTTTGAAGCCTTTTGTGCCTCTTGTCCACTAAAGGGGCCCATTGTTCTATGCTTACCTCCTAACAAGCTCACTGTTCTATGCTTACCTCCTAACGGGAATCCCAAGTAGGTGAAAGGCAAAGAATCTGTTCTACACCCGAAGGTATAGGCCCATAAATATGCTTCTGTGGAGCTGCAATTGATCCCAATGCAGCAGTTTTGGCAACATTCAAGGAAAGGCCCGACACAGGCAAGAATATTTGGATAAACCCCCACCAGTTTTCCAAAAACTTAGATTCGGAAGGACTAAAGATCAAAACATCATCAGCATACTGTAAGTGTATGATCTCTATAGCAGGAGAACCGATAAAGAAGCCCCTAATAATGTTTCGTTCGTAGCAAAAGTGAATCATTCTACTCAAGACATCCCCCAAAATGGTAAAGAGGAAGGGGGAAAGAGGGTCCCCTCTATCTAAGGCTTCTTTTTGCCCAAATTTTACCTCTAGGACGGCCATTTATCATAATAGAGAAGTTTGTGGACACTAAACAGCCCTGAATCCACGCACCATCTATTACTGAAGCCTTTCGCTTCATAGCAGCAACAAGGAAGGACCAATCTACTTTATCGTAGGTCTTTTCAAAGTCGAGTTTAATCAGAAAGCCCTTCTTATTCTATCTTTTCCAATGGCTCACCGTCTCTGTGGCAATCAAAATAGCATCTAGAATTTGACCCCCCTCTACAAAAGCAGCTTGAGAGTCATGGATGATGTGGGGGATAACTCTTTTAAGTCTGGATGTAAGGACCTTAGCTACTATCTTATAAAGAGAAGTAACCAGGCTAATAGGCCAAAAATCCTTAACCGAAGATGGATGGGACTTTTTTGGGATGAGGCAAATATAGGTCTCATTTGTTCTCTTGTTGATAATCCCTTTCTCAAAAAAGTCTTGGAACACCTTCACCAAGTCGGAGTTGAAAATTTCCCATGCCTTTTTCAAAAGTTCATTACTCATCCCGTCCGGACCGGGGGACTTTAAGGTGCCTAATTCAGCAACTACTTTGCCGATCTCTACTTCGGTAAAGGGAGCTTCTAAATGATTGTTGAGTTCTGTCGGGAGAGGATTCCCGTCCATATTCTCAGGCATAAAACATTGATCCACAGTGGTAGTATAAAGAAGGGAGAAATACCTAAAAAACTCTGCCTCTATGATGTAGCTGTTAAAAGGGTTATTTAGTTAGTTCTTATTATTAGACAGGTTAGGTAGTTAGCCTCCAACGGATTAATTTCTTTTATCTGGTGTACTAAGGCTCCAACCTATAAATAGGAGTTCTTTTGTTATTTAGAGGCAGACTTCAATTTTGATAACATTCTCTCTCAATTAGTTTACACCAAATTGGTATCAGAGCATCAAGATTTTTGGGCTCGATTAGGAAATGGTCKATAAGAAGATGATTCCAACGGTTGGGGATTCTTCTACAATCGGCAAAGAGACGGAAGACAACTCCGTCCTCTCTCCACGAACCACGACCACCCGTTTGGTGATGGTTGAAGGGGCAGTCGAAAGCCTCCAAAGGAATGTGGTTGAGATTCGTCAGATTTTGTTTTCAATAGTGGATAAGCTAGATTCTCTTCAACTTAACCAAGATTGTCCAAGAAGTGATTCTGCAAGAGAGGGCCACGGAAAAGGAATAAAGATTGGTGCAGAAGAAAGGCAACCAGCTCCAAGAATACATCAAGAACCCCTCCCTCTTCAAGAACCCCTCCCTTTCCCTCGGGGCAATCGGCAACAAACTGATCCCGCACCTGATCTTCCGCGAAACAACATTGGTATGTTCGAAGATCCTTTCCCAGCCCCGTTTCACTATCAAGAACCAGGTAGGTTTGGCAACCATCAGCGCCGAAACATGATCAACCGGCGACGGGCTGTTCAAATGGATTCGTCCAGTGAAGATGAGGAGTATCTGGAACGGGACATGGACCGCAGGGGCACCCGACGACATAATCCAAGGTATCATGAACCTAACGAATACAAAATGAAAGTGGATCTGCCAACTTTTGATGGCAAGCTTGACATCGAAGGTTTTCTTGAATGGGTCAAGAATGTGGAGAGCTTCTTTGGATATATGAATACACCTGCCCATAAGAAAGTGGATCTTGTAGCTTTAAAACTCAAAGGTGGGGCTTCCGCTTGGTGGGAGCAATTGGAAACAAATCGCCAAAGGTTTGGTAAGCTACCCATCCGTACTTGGGAAAAAATGAGGAAACTAATGCGTGCTCGTTTTCTTCCTATTAACTATGAGCAGGTTCTTTACAACCAATACCAAAATTGTAGACAAGGGAGCCGCACCATTGCCGACTACACCGAGGAGTTCTACAGATTGGGAGCCAGAACAAACTTGGGAGAAAATGACCAATATCAAGTTGCTCGATTTGTGGGAGGTCTTCGGACAGACATTAAGGAATGCATTCAAGT